AAAAAAAAAAAAAAAAAAAAAAAAAAAAAAGGAAAAATAACAGGCCAGGACAATTTTGGCTGCTGTGCACAGAAGATTTCACTGGATGTCATCACCTGCTTGGGGTCCTCGAGGACTTCGGTTGGCAAAAGGGTCCGTCCACGTTAACTAACTTTCATTTGCCATGTGTTTTTTGTGCTGAGATTGTCCAGGCAATCACAGTGAGTTTGGGGAGTTGTTAGCCCAAATGAGCCAGACATCTCAGCTTATCTGAACATCTGGCTGATAAAGCCCAACTGTGCGTATTCCGGATGAAAAGGTGTTTGACATTCAGGCCTGGGTGACTGAGGATGGGGGACCCTACTTTAGAACGTGCCAGATGGCTGGACAGATGCAATCTTTGCCCTTGTCAATGTGTGGCCAATCTCTTTGACTGACTGTAGCCATTCACCGATCTCCAGTAACATGGGCACCAATGCAGAGAACAGATGGGCCTGCGTGGCCACAGCAGAAATGAATTTAGCTCCTGTCCCAGGTCCCATCACACACAGTTCCACATCCTCTTCCAACATCACAGCCCTCCAGGGACTACATTGCTGGCTGCTTCTTTCTCATGACCTGTCTTCTGCCCACTCTCTTCCCAAATGCCTTTATTTAAATGAAAAAGTCCTCAAAATTCCCAGCAAATCAAGCTGCTATTGCGTTTCCTTCCTCCTCAAAGTTCTCAGATAATGTTCTGGAAATGATAAAGAGTTTGCCGTGTGATAAGAGGCACCATCCATGTTAGTTCTTCATCTCCTCATCCATTTCCATCTTCCTTCCAAACATTGTCCCTGCCTAGAGTTATCCAGGGCATCTGAGGCCCGAATCTTCAAGGGCCTTAACACAAGGCTCCAGWTGTTTAGTGGATGGGTATTTAACATCTGAAGCAGGGGAGGTCACACAACTTCACACGCGCTCTTGCCCAGGACAGCACAGTGCCGGGATGCCTGATGGAGCTGTTACATGTACGTGGCTCAGTTGAGATCTCTACCYGGCATATCACTGTTGGAGATAAAATCCTGAGACGATTCCAGCTGCCTTCTCAGGAGAAGAAAACAAGAACTTCYAATCCCACCATCACTGTAAACTGACCCAGAGCTACGGACGTCCYGGAGAGGGGTGTCCCCTGCTCTCCCATCCCATGACCGCAGCGTAAAGGGAAGATGACAGGAATTGATGGTCCAGATTAGAGCACGAGCTGTTTTTAGCAGAACAAGGATCTTCATGGCCAGAGAGCCCCCCTCACATTATTGTGCTCCTTTCCCTCCGAGGGCAGTGTTTCTGGAGTACAGACAAGTGAGCCAGATAGAGGACCCAGGAGTTCAAGTCTTACACTTTAATAACAAGACTGTTTGTCCTTCCTTAGAAAGTGGAGTGTTATCCAGGGATTATCTTAGTCGTTTACTGCAAGGTACTGGCCAATCTATCTTCAAAACAGCCACGTTATTGCCTGTGGGGAAGTCGCAGAAAGAGGCTTACACTGGAGCAGTATTTAACTGGGCAGGCACTGGGGAAAAGCCTACKCCACTACACACAGACCACATGTAAGTCATGTGGAGCTTTTCCCTTGCTATTCCATAGTGTTGGGTTTGATTCCAAGCGAAGAAAGAGAAAAGGGACTAAGTGTGTGTTGTGCCTCACGCTGGYGTGGGCTGCAGGACACTACCATGTGCAGGAGGGTATCTTGGACAACACGCCATGCTGAGGTCTATCCTCTGGGCTTTCCTAAATGGGGAGGAGGGGTTTAACATCAACAGACTCCATCTGATCAAGTATTCTGTGTGAGCTGGTTGCAAAGGATGGCATTTTAAAATGCATCTAAATCTTTAGCAGTTAAAACAATGGAAGGAAAAGGGAAAAACAAAATCAAAGGTCTTGCAAACCATCTATCCTTGCAAAACTTCCTCCTGAACCTTCTGAGCACCTCACCCAAATCAGAGCCCATCGCAGACAACCCTGCCCTTGCAGCGGCACGAGGGATGCCTTCCAGCAATGCTTGTGACCTTGAAGCAAAAGCTGCAGCCCCTCCTGCTCCAGGTGGGCTAAGGGTCTCCTAGCAGGTAAGGCCCCTTGAAGATGAGCAGTGGTGTGCAGGGGCTTCTCTCCACTGGCCAGCTCAATAAAAACTGCAAAGTGTTCCTGTGCAAACTGTCACGTGCATCACTGGAGGTAGGGATGAGCTCTCCAGCATAGAGATCAACCACCGTTTACCACCTGAGCTCCTGGATAACAGATGGTCCTTCCCCTCCTGTGGAGGACTGGTTTGGGAAACCAGCCAGAAACCCACACTGGTGCCTTTTCGTTTGCTTGACCCTTGGCTCTGCTTTCTCCACCTTCCTCCCAGATCCTCTAGTTCCAGGGGTGTTTTCTGGGGTGCGAGTCTCCTGGTGCCTGTCACAGGCAAAGCTGCCTATAGAGGCAGCTATATAGACCTGACATGGTAACTACCAGTGTTTGCAAGAGGTACCACCAATGGTCTGTTCACCATCTGCCTTCTCTTCCCACCCATCTCCCCCTTCACTCCTACCTGATAACAGCTTCGTGCCCTGAAGAGAGGGTATTGTGAACAGACACCAAGCTCAAAGACACATGTATGACACATTGCCCTTCTCCCTCCCACCCCTAAAAGGAAAACAGGCACACACAAATTCATAGCATGGACAATTTTAGGCACAGGGCACCCATGAAGTTAACTTTTTTTTTTTTTTTTCTTTTAATCACCTTTTAACCACGGAGCAGTCCCTAGAGGAGGAACGAGGCCTGGGCAAAGTRCTCTGTGCCTTGAGCCCTCTACGCACACAGAATGGAAACCACACGGGGAGGAGAGGGGCAGAGGGAACAAAGCATCCCACACATCTCAGTCTTTTCCCATAGGGACATAAATGAAATTCAATTGAAATCCTTCAACTGAAAACAAAATTCACACAGAGCACACTCTTGCAGGGGATCCAGACACTGTCAGGTAAACAGGTAAAAAGACAGCAAAAGGAAAATCAACCCCCAAAACAAGTCCCCAAATGGCATGAGCTGGGACACTCCACAAGGGCTGGGTTCTACTAATTAGAGCCACTCATGCTTTCAGCCTCGGGCAAAACAGAACATGTATGCAGGAATTTGTTGGGTTTTTTATTCCCTCTCTTTCCTTTTTTAACATTCTTCTCCCCGCTCCCCCAAAACAACAAGCAATCATCCAAGCAAATTTTTTTTTTTGCTAGAAATTTCCTGGGTTTTGTGCCTACCATCCATGCCTATAACCCCAGCACGTCACCAGCAGTCACACGGTCTGATCACATCTCTTTTGAACAACAACCACCAAACAGAACGGAATGGGGAACCAAGAGAAAAAAAAAAGAAAATATTCCCCTCCCAAAGCAATCCCGATTTTATAAACCCATTTCTTTAAAAGACCACAAAACTGAACCAACCAAAAAAAAAAAAATTCAGAAAACCAAAGGGAGAAAATGAGAGAAAGAGAGAGAGGGAGAGAGAGTTTAAAAGGAGGGGAAAAAACAAAAAAACGAACAATTAACAACCCAAAATAAAAAAAAAAACCAAAAACTAACCAGCTGAATTGGGAGTTGAGGGTGAGTTAGCCTGGCTTCCATGGGCTGACACATTGGTAGCCGTGACAGCCGTTTTGGCAGCATAAATATTGGCTTCCTCTTGAAATTTACCTATGTTCTTCTTGTACCGGATTCTCTTATTTCCAAACCAGTTTGATACCTAGAGTGAGTTTAAGAAAAGACAAAGATGTTAAAGTTTCAGCTCTGCAAAGCTGTGGCTGGGTGAGGAAAGTGGATAAATTCAGGCTAAGCACTTTTACCCCCCTACCTGTCATCACAAGAAATGTGAGTACATAGAGAGGAGCACCTTGTACCTGCTTGTGTCTTCCCAGCCCCAGGAATGACCATCAGACCCACTTGGGAAAGCCAAGTCTGGGCGGATTCATCTGGTTCCTCTACAGATGTGATTTCCATTAATGAGTCTCTCTTACAGTAACTGCAACCCACCCCACAGAACACACACAAATATCAGATGGTTAAAAAAAAAATAAAGAGAAAGCAGAACAGCCCTGAAATTACAAAATTTAAAAATTTACATCTGTTATTTTAGTACTTTTTAATTGTCTCCTCCTCAGGTTCCCTGTGACAAGGACAACATTTCCTCCTGCTCCTTTCCCAGATGTCCTATTCCTTCCCTGTAGAGAAATGTAGAGAAACTCATGTGGCTCTCAGAGAAAATCCCCAAAGAATGAACTGGCCAAGACCCAGTTTGCTGCACGAGATACTCAGGCCTGGCTCACACACAAACTTACCTTGAAATTGCTCAGACTCTGCGTTCMGACTCTCTGAGTCAAGCCAGTGCAAAGGTCTAGAATTGAATGCTCTTAATTCAGCTGAAATTTGCTTTGTACTGGTTTAGCATGAGTGTTATGTAACACATTCAGAGAAGGATTGGAAAGGCAGCACTAGACACATCAGAAGACTTAACTTTGGTTCCAGCAGACAACTGTATCATTTGGCAAATGGGTATTGAGGATAGCTGAGATGACTTCCCTTCCCTTCCTTTCTGGTTTCTGTTTCATGCTTCCCAGCCATGCTCAAGCTCAGGTTGTCAGCTCAGATCTTGTGTCCCTACTCCTCAAAATGCCCACCAGGAAACAACGAAGGCAGAGACTATGGGAGACGTTTCCAAAGTGATTTTCCAGACACCTCTAAGTGCCTGGTGCCTTCAAGTACCTAAAAGTATGCTGGATGAGACTGGTTGATTTATTACAAAATTAAAGAAAGAACTGAAAAGGAGAGGCCAGATCTGAAGTTCAACGAAGCAGTGCAGCTTGGCTCGTGTCAAACTTGGTGCTTTGTTGGGTCTGCAGCAGGGCAAAGCACAGTTCTCTGAAAGCCCCCAAGGTGGAGCAGGTGGAGCAGGTGATCTCTGTGGACTGTAAAGATGGCATCCTGGGGTTAGCACTGCAAACACTTAAAAACACTGTGACTTGGAGAACCCATCAGAAGACTTGATAAACACCCCGAACTTCCCATGTCAGAGGCTCAGCACAGTGGTAGGAAACTCCCAAGTCTGTGCTTTCCAGCAGTGGTACCCTGCCAGAGCTGCTCTGCTTTTTCTAAGGAAAACATCAAGGCATCTTCTGGGCCACCATAAACCAAACTCCCTCTTGGAACCCTGCTGACAATACCCTGTTCACTCATGGACACTAAATCACAACAAACAAGTTTACAGAAGACATGGGAAAAATTCAGTCTAGGGCCTGGGAAGCAGCTTTCAGCTTCTTCATTGACATCACTGAACAAAGAGATTTGGGGGATTCCAAGTGGAAGAAAACTTCCAGCTGCTCCTAACAATTGATTTAGAAAGCTCAACAGGAGCTTGAGGAGGCCAGACGGCCAAATGTCTGAAGATGTTGGATTCTTCTAGGAGAACTTCAACTCTTCCTGGGATTGCTTGGGCTGCAAACTGGAGCTGGGATTGACAGAAGAACCACCTCTTCGTCCTGACTCCAAGGAAGGTGTCCCATGGCTTTCTGGTGACACTGTCAAAGGAACACATCAGGGCTCCCCATGMCAGAGAAAGCAGCACAAATACTAAAGACATAGAAGGTAAGGCTGCATGTCCATTATGAGGAGTTCACTATTTTTTCTTCACCTCAGGAAATGTTTTTGAGTTTGGGTGTTGATAGCTGACACCTGGAAGGTTTARTTCCTGTGATGCTTCCTGTCCCTAATGCTCCTAGCATGCTCTGTAGCTTCTAAATAGAAAAGACTTCAGAAACTACCTGCACATACCCAGCCCCACACTGCTGCAGGACAGGATACGGAAAATACAACCTGCTGCAATTCCAAGTGATGTTGGGAGGTAACGACTCAGATCAGCACCCAACCCAGTCCATGGAGAGAATATTGCACCACGGGCAATATCCTGTCAGGCTGAGGCTCCATTCCACCTCTCCTTCGAGCTTCCTCCCCAACACCAATGCGCTGCTTTGCTATCTTCCCACCTGGTGATCTCTCTGCAAGAGATATTCTGCTTCGAATGCTGGAGCTGCTTGGTGAACTGCTCCGAGCTCCACTGGGAAGGAAGTCAGAACATGTGGCCATTATGATTAATCTTCATCTTAAAACCTGTGAAGCAAAGCACCTGCCCAACCCTCATCAGCCTGGGAGGTCAGCTCTTGACTTGSGTGGGCTCATGTATCCCACACTCCCACCTAGCCCCAGCAAACCCAGAATCTTGCATCTGCGTTTCTCTGTGCCCCAGCACATCATTTCTGTGCAGTTAACACCTTGGCTGTTCGCCCAGCCGTTGTTCATTAAGTCTTCATCTCTTCCGAGACCTCTCCAAAATTCTTCTTCTCCCCATAGCTTCATCCTGCAAGTCTGTCTTCTGTTCTATTAAACTACTTTACTCTAAAGCAAGCATTCATTTGGTAATTAAATAGTCAGCACTAGGAGATAACTGACTTCAGTGAGGTCTGGGCTGTCCTTCCAACAGCCCATGGTAGCTGGGGCCACCTTCACTGCATCCCTGGCTCTTACCTGTGAGACTGTGATGCCGCATTTCTTGGCTAGCTCTTCTTTGGCTTCCTCACTGGGGTAAGGGTTGCTGAGATGGGAATAGAAATACTCATTCAGGATTTCCGTAGCCTGCTTGTTGAAGTTTCGTCTCTTCCGCCTTGGTAGGAAAGAGAGATCGGAAAACAGAACAAAAAAAAAAGGGAATCAGTGCTAGGGATCCAAAAAATGTAGTACACAGAAATGCAATTTTGATACTCTCTGACCTTCCTCACTTCCCTGCCTCTCTTTGCTGCTGCTGGTAGCATGCTGTGCAATAGACTCATGGCTAGGAAACCTCTCATCTGGACCTTGTCAGCAGCTCTTTTCTCAGCACCTTCCAGAGCAAACAAGCCTCTTTCTCAAATTATCACCGCATTCTCCAGCTCACAGAAATGCTAAAACTGGCAACTAGCCCCTGCACCTGGGAAGTCTGGTTGTCCTGGCTGAAGATGTCAGCGCTACTCCGCAAAGGTCTGGGTGACAAAAGCTGGGACGGATACAAACCTGGTGAGCTTTGTTCCATTTACAGCTAGACACCAGCCATCTGCTACCTCCTCCCAAGTGCCCCCACATCATAGCTGCCTCTCCTCCTCATTCCAAGCCACAGCCCAAGCCTTCCAACCGCATGTAACTGGTTTCGAAAGTGAAAATAATTCTGCAGCACGATGAAAATTGGGACGTGGAAAACAGAGGGAAAAGAACAGGAAACTGGAGGGAAAGGGATGGGCTGGAGGATTAGCTTTCACCCCCAACTGATGTGCACATCTTGACTGCAGACATTGGTTGTGATACACCACTGAATTGTCTTCTGCCACAGCAAAATCAATATGCAATTCTCAGGCTCAGCTGGGATCCTCCCGGAGACACAAGCTGTGAGTGTCTTGTACTACTGTTCTTCCCTCCCCTGCTAGGCTGGGGCTCTTCATCTGCAAAACCCAACACCACAGGCCCATCTCATCATTCTGATCACAGACCCAAAAGAGAACAGGGGAACCTTCTGCTGTGAGTCTGTACGGTGAAGACAGCAGGTGTGGAGGAGAGTTTCACCTACCGTGCGTCCAGAAATCGGGAGCGCAAGATCATGACCGCTTCACACGTGCTCTGCTTCAACTGCATCTGGATGGAGCTGAACTTGCGGTGGATGATGCTCACCATTCGCTCGATCTCCTTCGGCGAGATCGGCCGGGTCCGGCTCTGTTCACGCAGCAGGTTCATCACGTGGGTGGTGAATTCGTTGCATGCCTGGGATGGCAAGAAAAGCAAAAGAAACCCCAGGATCGGAAGGTCATTCGAYGACGTTAAGGACAGCACAGAAGCAGCAGAGTTAAGGTGGGACCACTTTTGAGTTGTGTGGCCAGGCTTTGCCRGGGCAGACCCAAGGCAAGGATGTGGTGGCTCTCCGGAGAGAGATGAATTTATTTTGGCTGTGAGGCAGAGGGCACAAGGGCTCCCAAACACATGGAGGGGAAGAAGAAACCCATTCCCTTGCTTTCAGGAGGCACGGATGGACTCAGCCTAAATGAAGCCCTGSGACCCATGTGAAGTATACAGAAGTCCCAGTCTCTGCGCTGCTTTTCTGGCTAGGACTGCAGGAGTTAGGGACGTATTGGAGGAGAAACATGAACTTTTCAGTCCTTTATCCTTCCTCCTGCTGCCCTAGGCACCACCAGGTGCCAACTGACCCCACTCTGGGCTTTCAACACATCTGATAAGTAAATAACATCACTAATTAAAGCCTAACGAGGCAGGAGCCCTGACAGGACAGGGCAAGCAGGCAATACCCCAGACTAGGTTGTTGCTGGCACAGCGCTGTCCCACCTCTCCCCTTGCTGCTTTGCGAGGGCAGGGCAGGCAGAGCAGGTTGGGCTCAAAGGAGGGATTCTGACACCAGATAAATGCAACTTTCTCAGCCCAACCACCAGTCCCGGGACAGGATGGAAAGGGAAAACTGCCTGCAAGCTGGAAAAGGCTCCCCAGAGCATCACGTTGCTGGCAAGAACCACCAAGGATTTTGCAAGCTAATGACAGAGGCTTGACTTTATGTCCTTCATGTAGCACGATTCCCAGCTTCCCCACTCAGCAGCTTCTCCCGCTCCGTTCACGGTCCCCAGAGGCTGCTGGGGACCTGTCCAGCAGGTGACGAGTCCCTGCACACACCTCTACAGCTCGGACCCAACAGGGAGATGTCACTAGGCCAGCAGAGCCCCACAAATTGCCCATCATCAGCTTCCATTGACAGCTCCGATCTCCCCTAGGCAGGGGACGCCGGCTGAGCGGCGCTTACTGGAGCTCAGAGCCGGGTGACTCTTTGCTCCCAGACGCCTGAGCAATTTCAGCTTGTCTCCTCTTCGCGTGAAATAAGAGCATTAGAGGCAAAATTGCAGGCGGGAGCTGTGCTGTCACAGCACTGCCAGCCACGGTGTGAAGCCAGGCGCCGACATCCCCGCTGCCAGCCACRGTGCCCGGCTCCCAAAGCCCGGCCTGCAGGACGGGAAAGACGGGCACGTGGGTCAGAAACCACATGTGAACCCTGGCTTTGCAGCAGCACTGCGCCAGCTCTGCCTCGCCGCAGCTGCAAGAATGTGCTCCGACACGTCCATTTGCAAAGCGTCTTTGCAGGGAAAGCGACAACGGGAGCGGGCTGCGGCAGCGACCGAGCCCGGGCTAAAGCTCCGGCTGAGACGTGGGATTAAACAGGGAGGATGTGACCCTATCACACCCGAAGGGGCTGGCGGGAAACACTTCTCTCAGTGCTCTTTTTGTCTCTTTTGAAGAGCAAAAAATGAGGCAGGAAGAAAAGGAGAAAAGCAGGTGCACTAGCAAAGGATGGAGCTGATTCCTCCAAAAGGAGGGCTACTTTCTTGCTCATGCTCTGGGAAGCAAAAATTGCTGGGATGAAACCACATTCCTCATGATGGAGAGTCTCGAGGTAGAGGAGAGAGGTCTGCAGAACATCTGGGTCTAGATCTACGTGAAAGACACCAACTTTGGAGTATGGTCTGCAAAGCCTCTCATATAACTGTCAGTATTACTAATAGTTGTGTTCATGACCCAAATTCTTTTTTTTTTTTTWWKAAKWATTWT